GTAGCGCGTCACCCAGCTGGGCAGGTCCAGCGGCTCCTGCCGCCAGCCCAGCTCGTTCATCAGCTCGTACACCATGTCGTTCTGCTCGATGCCCTCGGGAACCAGCCCCGTGCCAACCATGGTGGAGTTGGGGAAGCGCCGAGCGGCGAAGGGGCCGTGGTTGATGGCCTCCACCGTGCCAAAGAGGCCGTGGTTGCCCCCGAAGTTGTGCAGCATGCACCAGATGAAGGGCTGCCCGTAGAAGGACTCTGTCCACTGGTAGACGGGCTTGGACTCAGCAAAGAGGTCGAGAACAATCATCCTGCCAAGGGGCACTCCGTGCAGCAGGGCCCGCACCTGTGCTGGCTGCCAGAAGTCGGGCTGGTGCTGGAAGAGCCAGCCCTGCATCAGCCACAGCGCCTTGGGGTCAGCTGGGGACAGAAGAGCACTGAGTGAGACCCTCTCCAGGCAGGGCCCACAGGTGTCTCATGAGGCCCTGGGGCCACCAACTACCCCTCAAGGGGCTTTTGGGGATCTGGCACCAATGGGTTCTGCGCTTACATGGGGCCCACAGCCTCCTCCCCCAGCCCTGCTATCCCACCTGGAGCCCTGTGGCCAGGCCAGCACCACACACGGACCCACCTCCTGTCATTGACCTGAAAACAGCACTGCTGACTCTGGAGAGATAGGCAGGGTCGGAGGACAGGGGGGTCATCTCGTTGAAGGTGTCTGCACTATAGACGTGGTCTGTGCCAAACTCCTTGATCAGCTCCTTCAGGAAGAGCGTCCCGATCACCTGGAACATGGGGTCCTCTGGGTCCAGCAGGTAGGTGCACGAGTAGGCGCAGTCAAAGTGGCTCCAGTGCCCCAGGCGAGTGGCATTCACACGGGGGAAGACCCTGCAGGAGAGGGCAGAGATGGGGATCAGGAGCAGAACAGGACAGGACCACCGTGCCCGTGTGGAGACTGGGGAAGCTGCAGAGGGAGGTGCTGCTGGAGGTGAGACCCTGGGGCAGGGGCTGCACCTACCGGAGGATGCCCTGCGGCACATGGCCCGCGAAGGCCGGCAGCACCGTGGTCATGCCCAGCGAGCGCATCCGCTCCACGATGCGGTACTGGGAGAGAGAAGGAGAGAGGGAGCAGAGGGAGAGAAGCCCCCAGGTTCCCACCAGGGCACCCCGGGCGCTGCTGCAGCTCANCCGTGGTTCTCTCCATGCCTGGCAGCGCTGCCCATTGGGGCCACCCTATTTAAGAGGGCTGGGAAAGGGGTCCCCCCGCCCCACGCCACATTGTTGTGTCTGCTGCCTTATCTCAATCCCCTCCACCCCCCTCCCTGCGCATGCCTGGGGCTCCCTGTGCCTTGATCCTGTGCAGGTGCTGTGATAAAGACTCCACTGAGCCAGGACCTCCCTGCTGGAGGAGGCTCTGGGGCACGAGGGGAGCTGCAGCCCCAGCTGTACTTTGCTGTGCCAGGCATCCCAGCTGCCAGGACACGTCTGGCAGGGTGTTGTTCCTGCTGGGCAGGCTCAGGGCTGAGCTGCTCCTCTGCCCCCGTGTTCCACACAGTCCTGAGCTAGCAAAGGAGCTGGACACACATGGGAGAAAAGAGTCTGTATTTGCTCCGTCCATAGCTGGGCTCTGCCCGAGCCCCAGCTGTGGAAAAGGCCTCAAAAACTCCATCCTGGGGAGGACATCCAGCGACACCGCAGGCAACAATGCTGCAAAGTCTTTTATGATACAAAAGGCACCAAATGTGGGCAGGGCCATGCAGTGCCACATCCCCACAGGCACTGGGGTCCAATACTGCTCTGTCCCCCTCCCCACTGCCACCTCCCTGTCTGCTTCTCACCCATCACTGCCCCTGCTAGCCAGCCAAGGCACCACAGCAGGGACACGTTTGTCCTGTCCCTCTGCAGTGTCCCGCCAAGCTTCCAGCCCAGGTTTCCTGGGAACAGGCTCAGGGCAGCTGGGCAGAGCTGAGCACAGAGCGTGGGGTGCGATGGGACCCTGGGGCACAGCCTGCTCCCACCCATCTGCCAGCCCCTTGTCCACGTGCCAGCCCCTCTTGGGGCACATCCTGCCCATCCAGGCTGGCTGAGGGCCACCAGGGCCACCGTGCCCCTCGTCCAGGACACAGCCATCAGGCCAGGAGCCCAGATGGGGGAGGGTGCAGGGGCTCTGTCCACCCTCTCTGGGGGAGGCTCCGGAGGCAGAACCCAGAGTCAGGCAGGCCCAGCCGAGCTGCGCCTCAGGGCGCTGGGGTAGTATTTGAGGAACAGCTTCCTGGAGATCTCCATGGTGTCCCCAGCTGGCACAGCTGGGTAACGCTTCTTGTTGTAGATGAAGCCTCTCTCCACTTGGAAGACAGCCTGGTTGAACTGCTCCTGGTGGAAGGGGCGGCCCGAGTTGAGGCTCTCCACCAGCACAGACACGAAGAGGCTCCAGCGCACAGCGTAGTAGTCCAGCACCAGCCCCCCCAGCTGCTTGTTGGCATAATCCAGGATGTTCCCGCTGGGCCCCCAGAGCGTCACCTGGTTGCGGGCATTGAGCTCGTACTGCTCAGCCTCCCGGGTGCTGGTGGCCACAGCGCGGGCGCT